GTGTGTGTAATATGAATTAAAAAGTAATGGAGATCTGTAGGAAGTTGTTGTTTTTTTTCAAACTGTGAAGTGTTGCTAATACAAGACATTTACATGTTGATGTACTGTTGCATTCAATTTATTCCTTACATTTTCTTTACTTGGCCTTTAAAAAAGTTTTAAATCTACTTTCATAAAACCTGCAGAAGCCCTGCCTTTTCCTGAGTAGTTCATATGACTCCGTCATTGATCACTGTTCTGTATATGTGTGTGTATATATATATATATATATATATAAATATAAATGTGTGTGTGTGTTTCAGGTGGAGGAGGGATGGTGAATATGGGAATGGACCGAATGAACTCCGGCTTCGACCGGATGGGTGGGAACATGCCACAGCTCTCGTACGATCTGACCTGGCAGAAGCTCAAGGAGAAGTTCAGTTACTGCGGTACGTGCGTTAACTCTCATTTCTGATATGCAGCAGATTAATAGAAACATAAAGATGAGCGGCTGTGTTCTCCAGGTCAGGTGATGTACGCTGAAATAAAGATGGAGAACGGCAAATCTAAAGGCTGCGGCACGGTGCGCTTCGACTCTCCTGAGAGCGCAGAGAAAGCCTGCCTGATGATGAACGGAACCAAGATCAACGGACGAGAGGTTGATGTTCGTATCGACCGCAACGCTTGAGACACACACACACATCACAGAGCCCAGCTTTTGTTTTGTTTTAAAAACATCATGACTGTCATATCAGCAATCTCACCAGCTGCTTCAGCTCCATGTGTTAGTGACCACGCTTTCTTTTCTGTTTTTTGTTTGTAAACATTTTAATTTGTGGGACATTCGTCTCGGACTAAATTAAAAAAAATAAAAAGCTGGCTGTTGTAAATTCGGTCTGGGTCTCAGTTTGTCAGATCAACACAGGATGCGACGAATGAGCAGCAACCACATGTGACGGACCCCGGGCTGGATTCCGCTTCGTCCACGGTGAAAGCCGTTCCGGCGATCCACAGCGCAAAGTTGATGTATTCCCTCCGCGACCAGCACGGATCAGCTCCAGGCATGACGAAGCGGATATTGTCCTCTTTTGGAAGGCCAAACAAAGTAGTTTCGCTTTCACAACGAAACACACAGCGTCTTCACGACATGGCGGAAAGCGGCAACAATACTAGAGTCACAGTGAATAAAAGTTACGCCTTCTTTCTTTGCGTGAACATTTGGGCGGCGTTATGCAAATCTTCCCACATAGTGAGGTAGACATGTGGGGGCGTGTTAGAACGAGCCGTTTTAGGGGGGCGTGGTTGACTCTTAACTTTTATAAAGAATATCTCTTTGGATTTGAGACTTTAGTCTTTGCAACTTTACAGATCTTCTTTATGCACCAAGAGCTTGTAACACTCCAAAGAGAAAGGAACAACTGAAATCGCATCATATGACCCCTTTAAGTGTAAAATTAGTTTATTATACTTTATTATTAACTAGATTGAAAAGTTTGTAGACAAACTTTAAGTTGGCTTTAAAAAGCCTAGCTAGAAAGTTTGAAAAAGTTTTAAAAGCTTGCAGTCTGAAAGTTTTCAGTTTGAATTCGTTGAAAGTTAAAATAGTTTTAAAGATTAAAGTTTGAATGTTTTCAAGGCAATATAGTCTTATCAGAAAAACAGATAGGTATAAAACGTATTGCTAGGGTACCTGGGGTGGTTGCTAGGCTGTTTCTAGCATGACTAGCATGTTGCTAACATGTTTTTAGCATGATTAGCATGTTGCTAGTATGATTAGCAAGTTACTAGCATTGTGTTAGCATTTTGTTAGCATGATTAACAAATTACTAGCATGTTTATAACATGATTAGCATGTGACTAGCATATTGTTAGCATGTTACTAGCATGGTGTTAGCATTATTAGCATGTTACTAGCATGATTAGCATATTACTACCATGTTGTTAACATAATTAGCAAGTTGCTAGCATGATTAGCATGGTGTTAGCATGATTACCAAGTTACTAGCATTTTTCTAACATGATTAGCATTTTACTAGCATGTTGTTAGCATGATTAGCATGTTACTAGCATGTTGTTAGCATTATTAGCAATTTACTAGCATGTTTCTAACATGATTAGCATGTTGTTAACATGATGTAAATTCGGTCTGGGTCTCAGGTTGTCAGATCAACAAAACGATTGTGTAAAATTAGTTTATTAATATTTATTTATTATTAATTACTTTATGTATACTGCTATTTTTGTATTATGAATATTTATTTTTAAAAATTTTCCTCAAAAAATATTTTTTAGGAATGTTCTTGAGACAAAACTTTAAGAACTCATATTAAAAATCTTTTACGTAAATGTAACAATTTTAAAACTTTTGAGTCATTAAATCAATTGCGTTTGAGTCCATTCTTGTGAACTTAGAATTAATCTAAGAAACTAACTTTTCTTTACATTATTATTGTAATTTAAAAAAAAAAGCTATTTTTATTCACAAAAACACTCAAAATTATTTTAAGATATTATTTTATCAAAAAAATTTAATCATCATAAATAGTCACGGAGTAGTTTAACATTTAGTCACCGTGAATTAAACATTTGATCCAAACTACAAACACTTGAAGATAAAACCTGAACATGCTGAGAAATAAATGATCTACTGTTAGAATTGTTTGGGTACAATCAGTGGCATATCGATTACTAAATTAATTAAATTTGACCTGCAAGATAATTCTAGTTAAGCTGATTTTTACATTCACTTATTTCATTTATCATAAATCCCTGAGCAATAAAGTTTTAGAAAGAATCCACTCTTGCCATAATGAAAATAAACTGGGAAACAAGATTTTAAAAATGATCTCATTACAAGCTTGAGACGTCGACTGGAGCAAATTACTCTAATAATGCTTATAGAAATGTTTCGTTTACGGTTTAGTTTAGTTTTAGGGTCACACTTGGTACCTTCCTGGTCAAAAGTGACTGAAGCCTTGAAATGGGACCCATTTTTTAAATCAGGAAAATCCATTTAATCCATTTTTTTTATGATACTGTGCAATATTTATACAGTTTTTATGAGCTATTTTTTCCACGGCCATTTTTGAACATGAAGATACCAAGGGCCTCATTTATAAAATGTGCGTACGCACAGATTTGATCGTAGAGTGTGCGTATGCTAAAAACCACGGCGACGTTCATATTTTTAAAACGCACTTTTCCTTGTGGCAAAGTCGGAGTACTGCAGCTATTTGAACATCTACGCTGCAATCATAATAAAAGTGGTGTACGTGCAACGTTACTTATAGTCAACAGAATGTGTTAAAGGGAGCATCAAAATAAAGTGTTACCAGATTTTTTTATTAACGGGAGTTTTTGCGAGATTAAACTGACCTTTTTAGTAGCCTAATGTTGAGAGTTCTTTATTCGCTTTCTTTTACTCGTTTATGCTTTAAATGCTCCTGTTTCATCAGGAGCACCATTAGTTCCCACAGGAATCAGCAGATAAACACAGTGAAGACGAGAGGCTGCTGTACATCAGTGCTCAGTCTGTGTTCATGTGTGTGATTCGCTGTGGAGCCGCTGGAGGCGCGTCTGTCTGAAGGTCTGTCTGTCTCTCATCTCCACGATCTCACTGAAGAGCGACAGCCAGAGCTTCTGCAGAGCGTCTGCTTTCACGCAGTGTGTGGAAGCTCTGTGGATCAGGCCTCGCAGATACTGCTGCACCATCAGCGAGCGCTCCGAGCCGTCAACACCGCTCTGCTGACACACACACACATATACACAGACACTCACACTCACACACAGACACTCACACACAGGTTTGTTTTTGTGAAAAGTGGGGACATCCCATAGGCGTACAGTTTTTATACTGTACAGACCGTATGTATACACACACACACACACACACACATACAGACACACACACACATACATATACATACACACACACACACACACTCACACTCTTTTACACTCTCTCACACACACACACATGTTCTTGTTTTATTCATAAACTCATTTATTTTGTTCAATTTCTCAGAAAACAAGACTTCATGTGTTCATTTTGCAGCTCTAGTAAATGTATCTTGATATAAGCATGTTTAGATATTTGTACTGGAAAACAAGACAAAAATACTGAGGAAGATACTCATTTTTTACAGTGCATGCAACATTTAATGCAATGAATTTAAGACTTTCTCTGATTTAAGAGCTTTTTTAAAGATTCTTTTTAGTCCGTAAGTTTTGCCTCTTGTCGCCATCTCTGTTTGAAACCTGCAATTGCAGCTAGGGTTGGGTATCGTTTGAATTTGATCAATTCCGATTCTGATTCTTTTCGATTCCCAGTTTCGATTCCAATGTGATTAAATAATGATATCAAACATTTATCCTGTGTCTCTTTTTTGCAAACCATTTAGTTGCAGCTGAATACCATGAACAAAAATCAACAGGCTACATAAAACCTGGACTCATTAAGAGCTGTTTGTGTGCAAAATAGAGCTGCATGATTCTGGATAAATGTAGTTGTTTTTTTTTCCCCCCCAATGGAAATTGTGGTTCTCTCATGATTCTGAAGAAAAAACATTAGACACCTAAACAAAATCACATGTAATTTATGAATGGAATGATTCAATGACTCACTCAAGATGTACTTGATTCATTACTGGATGAATCAGCGTTCTTGAACGAATCTCTTGTATGATTCAAAGACAGATACATTTTAACAGAAGTGTCACATGACTTTCAAAAGGTGATTTACTGTATTTTAATCGCTACCGTACACATCAGAGTTTGAACACACATCTATACTGTACATACTGTATACTACATTGATACTACTATACTTTTATCCCAGTACTTCTGTGATTTGAATGTTTGTAACACAGAAATAATGATGCTGTGTGGTTGAAAAGACTGTGAAGCTGTTATAAGAATATGTCTTGGAATATATGACCCAAATAAGAATTTTCACTAGATATTGTCATCTGAACAAGTAACAAGTCTGCCACTTTTGTTCTGACCAACTGAGGAATTATTCTTCCTTCAAACTGGTTCTCTTTAAAATACAAAAACTTGTGTAATTCCATGTAGGCTATCTGTAATCAGATGCACATTTAAGACGGCAATATAATTTAATTTGTCACATGTATTTCATAAACACATAATCCTTTCTGGATTACAATCCGCCATCAAAATTATAAATGTAATTATTCCAGCTGCTGAGAGATAAACCTCCACCTGCAGGATTCTCACATGCGATATAGTCTACTATCCGGGAAAACTTCTTTATGTTCACAGACGTGACGTAATGACGCGGCAGCATGCTCAAATTTCCCGTGAATTTCTACCACATAGGCTATCTGTAATCAGACGCACATTTAAAACTGGAATATAATTTAATTTAAGTCACATGTATTTCATAAACACATAATCCTTTCTGGATTACAATCCGCCATCAAAATTATAAATGTAATTATTCCAGCTGCTGAGAGATAAACCTCCACCTGCAGGATTCTCACATGCGATATAGTCTACTATCCGGGAAAACTTCTTTATGTTCACAGACGTGACGTAATGACGCGGCAGCATGCTCAAATTTCCCGTGAATTTCTACCAGTACCACTCAAATCAGAAAACATTATTATAAGCTAACCGTTGTGAATCGGGTTAAAGTAAGCCGATAGTTTTGAACACTGGCTGGTTATGTGCTTGCTCAAATATTGATTTCGGATCATTTTTACCAATAAAAAAGTTACGGACTGCAGCTTCAAGATGCATCAGGTGACTCATTGTGTTGAATTTTTTTTCTTTCTTTTTTTTGTACAATTTGATGAATTTCCCATTTGTGACC